ATCAATAATCTATTACTATTCAGCAGTTCAGAAAAGCCAATTTATTATATTACATCATTTTCACGGACATAGAATTTGTATAATTTGTAGTGTATCTATCTCATAGAAATTTGATAGTATGAAAAGCTTTATTTTTTATGTCAGTGAAGTACAAGCTAAACATAAATAAGCCAGAGTGTCTGATATGTACATTTCATAGCTAGCCTGTTTATAGATTATACCTCAGAGAGACTTATGTCCTGGCAAAAATAAATGTCTTTGTCCTGGAGTAACAGTGATTTTAAATATTTATTCTAGTGGAGGTTAAATATTCCTGGAAATCTTTTGGTTTAAGATTCTAAGAATGGTTGGAGAAGATGGGTTTAAAAGTTATCTTGATAGAACTTACCTACTAATGTAATAACCTAAAAGTAATAAATAGAGTGAGACGAATTTCACTCATGAAAATCACTCATAAACTGATCCTGAATTTCAAAATATGGTGAGAGAAAATGTAAATACCAAGCTTTTGCTTATGGAGATAATTTCATTAATATAATTCTGCCTTCCTATTTACTTACCTACTTATCTACCCTAGCTATCATACAAAGTAAATATTTGAAAATTGTTTATGTTCTAAAACTGATCATTTATGTACAGCATAACTAAAAACTTGGCCAATAGTCAGCAGGAATTATAACAGAGGAAAAGCATTCTCTCTGTGGTGTTCAATATCAGCTTACTAAGTTGTCCTTGATGGACAATTCCAAGGTTGCATGTAAGTTCAAACCCCAATAGGTTTCCTCCATGATACATGCTTTAAGTTAGATAGGAACTTGTTAAGCTCCACAGCTAACATTGATAGAACAAATTTAAGCTTCCTGCTGAATATTACCTATATACTAAATACTACATTGCCACTAATAATGACTACTACTGAGAATTTATCAGGAATGTTGAAATGATAGAAACTTCAGAGTTTATTGTAACTCACATCTACATTTAAAGCAAGAGGAACAAGTTGTAGAGATATCAGAGTGATTTATCCAAAGTCAGTTGGTGAAAGGGTAAGAGATTCTGACTTTTAATTCAGTGCTATTTCTATCGTATCCACTGCTTTTACATGGCCTTCCATAATTTGATGGAGTCTGATAAGGCTCCTTTGATTTTTAGAAGGTAATTTCCTGTACATGGTTTGTATATGTCACTTCAACCTCAATTTTATGCGAATATATTACCACTCACATCATGTTAGAATAAAAGAGACTGAAGGGAAGAGTCTGACAAAACACATAAAATGGCTTTCTTTGTTAAGATCAAATACATTTTGTATAATAATATATGTGTATATATATCATTATGAGTTTAAATAATACAATGTCTGAAGCATAGAGCAGATACATTTTTAAATATACCATGTTTCTCTCTTCCATACAGCAAGCATCTACCCTATATTCTCCTCTGAGTTTTTCAATAATTTGTGTTAAGGTAATGTATATTTGTTTAAGAATCAGTCAAAGTAAAAAGTAATTTGACAAATTTTTTTTTCTGGAAAAATTATGTAGTACGCACATACATATACACACAAACACATATATACACACAGACATACAAACAGATGGACTCAAAAGTCAAATGTCTTTATAAATATGTATGTTTGTAAAAACACACATGTCTATTCACACAAATACTCTATTTTATCTGTGTGATGTTAACTCTATTGACACAGCTAATTATGAAACTATTTCTATAATTTGTATGTCTAGACACATAAACAATGCATTTTTTCTACATTTCTTCTTAAAAGGTCCTTCTTTATGTAACAGTTGTTTGTAGATGTCTTTGGGGACAGCATCTCTGGTTACTTTGTGGTTGGTATCTAGTTTCATTTAAATCTACAGTCTACTGCTTACTTTGTAAAACCCATAATTCAAACGTATAGATCATCCAGTATTCAAGATTAATTAGCATCATGGCTCTTTTCATCTTAGAAAACACTATGAAGACAATATTCTAAACATTTGAGGTGAATAATCTTAAAATCATATTATAGTTTTTTTAATGTTTTTTGAAAAGTAACTGGCTTCACAAACACCAACTGCAACATGATTTAGACAACTGAGAAACAGGCAAGTATATTTTGAAGTGCTAAAATAAGACATATTTATACAAGTACAAAGCAAAACAATGCTGATAAAAATGTTAAACTTTATGAAAAAAACATTTGCAATTCACATCAAAATAATTTAACATTCGCTATTATTTTAATAGTACAAGTTGCCACAACAGAGAAAGAACAGATACACGCACACAATTTTAAAACCAAATCAGTTATAAGTGCAGAAAAAAGTAAGTACAAGCACTTTTAGCCCACACAAATCTTTTAGGATTGGCACCATCTTTCTAAAACATCTATAATCTATATAGATTTCTAATTACAACACCATCAGCAGCTGCCATTGATTTCTAGAAATACACACAATATACATAGTATATTTGTTCACATTGGGAAGATCAGTGAAATTCAACCAACTATTTTATACATGCCTCATTCTTCAATAGACAGTAGAGAATCTCCCAGGCCTCAGACCCTCTTCAAAGTGAATTCTGGTTTATCTCTATGCTTTCACTGATCTGTATTTTTTTCACAGTATAAAATTGTAAATGGTAACTATAGAGATTCTGACAGCTTGAGGGTTATTAATAAGCTGTTGCTAAATATGAACTCAGATAATACCTCTGAAGTCTCCGAAACATGTACATTTTACTAGGAGACTAGCATAGGAAATGCTTATGTTTTTTGTTATTCTTAAAAAGAGTGTTTAATTCCTGGCTTGGAAGTCACAGAACTGCAGCAGAGCGATTATACAATTCATTTACAGTCAGAAATAGCTCCTAGTCTTCCTGATCACTTGCTGGTAACAGCAGTATTTGGGAATGACAGTTACTTTCAAGGATTAGCACGTTTGGGGACTTGCTTTTTTTTCTTTGTTTCAGTCAAATCTCTTACAATTTGTCTTTCCATACTCCCTTTCTTTTCCCCATCCCTAGCCCAGAAAAACAGTCCTTCCCAATCCAGATATGTTCTTCTTAGGCTTCCCCCACTCCACTCCTTTTCCAAAATAGAAGGATGAGTGGACTGCTTAGCTTGGTTAAACCATGTCTTCTTCCTTCCATCCTGGGACATCTCTCTCCTTTAGGGTCGCTTTGCTGAGCATTAGCATATCCCCTTCCTTTTAGTCATGCTGGTCCCGACTGAATTATCACTGGGCACCAGGAACAGATTGTTTTGAAGGAAATTCAATGAGAATGTACCCAAATGAATTGTGAAGTTCATATTCTATAGCCCTAGAATGAATATTCAGTTCTCTTTGTACTGTAGAGTTATTACTTGGAACCTGGTATTAGAATTGGCGAAGAGACAGTTAGCATCATTCCAAAATAAAAGATCTCAAGAATGCATTACTAATAATCTTATGTCCAATATACAGTGTATTCAATGAAGTGGCAAAAGTTATAGAAATACAGAGAAAAATATATCTTGTTTTCTTCTAATTGGATAAATCATTTTTATTACTATGGTTGATTATGATAGTATGTGGAATTATCAGATGGCAATTTACTTGCATTAAATTTAATTTCTAATGAAATTTCTTATAAGGTAGTGTACTTTTTAAGAGATATGTTACTAAAAAAATAGAAAATGAATTCGACCATGGATAAACATGTTGTTCTGTTGGTCTAGAGTGAAACGTATTGTACTTGAGAATAGAATGAAAATCAACATATGGATTTTAAAATGCAGAGAGAGCATATTGAGAAAGGTTTTTAATACCTAAGATGTCAAGATAGGAATCCCCAGGTGAATGCCATCCTTTTGATGAGGATCCAGAGGGTATTAATTATTCAAAAGATTTACTTTATTTTTCAGGTAGAGGCAGACATTTGCTCTTAATGAAAACATGAAACTTAGCTAGATTTCACTTACATTTTAAAAGCCTCATTATAAAATTGGGGTCAGTATCCTCTTGATGATGTTATTTTCAAATCTAGCATGGGAGGTTTGATTTTTTAAATTAATATTTTAGTATATTAATGTTAGCTTTAATATTTTGTATTGGTAGCTTTGACTTAAGGTTTCAAGGAAGAACAAATAGCAGAAAAGAAAACTCAACAAGCAGAATATTTATTAGAATTTTTTAAAGTGAAGAATGATAAATTATACCAGTGGATTGACTTCTATTTCTCAGTCTATTTTTTTTTTCTTTTCTTTTTTTTTTTTTTTTTTTTTTGAGACGGAGTCTTGCTCTGTCACCAGGCTGGAGTGCAGTGGTGCAATGTCGGCTCACTGCAACGTCCGCCTCCTGGGTTCAAGCGATTCTTCCGCCTCAGACTCCCAAGCAGCTGGGACCACAGCCGCGTGCCACCATGCCCGGCTAATTTGTTCGTATTTTTAGTAGAGAGGGGGTTTCACCGTGTTGGCCAGGATGGTCTCAATCTCTTGACCTCGTGATCCGCCCGCCTCAACCTCCCAAAGCGCTGAGATTACAGGCGTGAGCCACCGTGCCAGGCCTTCTCAGTCTATTTTCTTTTAAGCAGATGTGAAATTAAAAAAAAAAAAAATACTTACCAAAATAAGGATGTTGAGCTAAAAGAAAAAGTTGTATTTATTTTCTCTCTGCCAAAAATATACTTCTGCCTCAAAGCAAATCTTTTTCATAAGGCTATCTTAAGTATAAGGCTGGGTCAAATGAACTTTAAATTTATAGGACACCTCCTCCATTTATTACTATCCGTATTTAAAAATCAAAACATTTGGTACCTGAGGATAGCTGCAAAAGGAGGAAGAAAGAGATGACAGTGGATTCAGGTCTTGAACTATGAATTCTACCTATTTGAGACTATCAAAGCACACGTTTCTATTATAACGCTAAATCTCTTTTCTGCAGTTTTAAAAAGTGACAGTATGAAATGCACAAAATAATCATTATTTTAAAAAAGAAAATAAGAATTGCTTTGCCTCTTTTTGGAATGGCTAAGAATGTGTGGTTAATATTCATTAAGGTTCCTCTTTTTTAGTATTTTGTATTGCTTTGAAAAATCTACATTTGTCATAGTTCATAGCTGCCTTGTTTAAGCAGCCAAGAATAGTTAAAATCACTGCTCACTGGCGTGGCTAAATCTCCACTAAGCTGACTTGACACAGTTTAAAATTTTCAGTGTATTAAGATTGTGTTAATCCTTTCAACAACAGTCTCTCAAATTGTGACAATGTCTTCATGGGGTCTATGGACCACTCTTCCAGTGCTGGGACTCAAAAAGAACAAAGGAGCTCTTTGTGCATCAGGTTCTCAAAATAAAGGAATGAAGAAGCCCCAATGCGTATTTTAATATTTTAGTTGGCAATGCAATTGGAACAGCATTCCTAAGGAGTGGCCATTTTTCTTGAAAGAGATAGCCGGGCTGGAGCTCAAGAATGATCAATATAAAGAGAATTTCCAGCTACAATGCACCCCAGTGAGGGAATTACAAAACAGTATTCCAGAAAATATTTTTTTGCTACTCCAGTATTGATTGGCAACATGGTGAAATAGTCAAGAAATCTTCCACTGGTTTTCTTGGTTAATGGAGGTGAATCTGAAATAAGTAGGTGGAATTCCCGATGCAGGCTTTTGGAAGAGTATTTCACAACCAAATTGGAGAGGAGAGTCTCTGGTAGAAACCCTACGTAGTACAGTAACGCGGCACTCACTTTCCAGTACTGTGTTATGCATGGGACACATTCACAACGCCTCAGTAAATACTGGACCCAAGTTACTGCTTTTCAAGGTCTTTATAGGAAAGAAAAAAGCAAAAAGAAAAAAGAGAAAAGTTGATGTTTTGGTCCCAGATTTTGAGTTAGAAAATGTACATTCATGTTTGGTGAATCAAAGACTCTTCTGGGAAAAGAATTAAAGTAAACAAATAAAACTTTTTACAGTTGCTTATTAACTATGCTCTTCAAACCTTCGTTACGCTGTTTCACACGCACTGCTTCCCTGGAGCAAAGCACTTGGAACTGTTGGAACAGACGCCTTGTCAGCCCTCAAAGATACCAGCAGTGTTTCTTAAAAGCCCACGTTTTCTAAGGCCACTAGAAGAAAATCTGCCAAAAGATTTGTCGTCGGTTGTCGTGAGATAGCACTATTGATCTCATGTTTCCATCAAGGGGTGCACTTGGCATATTCCCCCTGGGCCGTAACCAGGCGACTATGCTTGCCACTGTGTGTGTGAACACTGGGGGCTCCGCTCCACTCCGCTCAGCGCACGCAAGCCGGCGCGCTTTCCAGGGACATTCACAACGACGAGGAGCTCTGAGTGTAATCTCTTATGATAAGAGTGTCATATTTGGGAGACGACGGGATACAGAGGGCTGACTCGGATACTGGCGAGTTAGGGGTTGTGCTCCCCGAGTCCACCGAGTCTCTGAAGGGGGACGGTGGGGTGAGGGCCACCAGCTCTTCCAGGTCTGGCTTGCCAGCCACAGCCTCGGGCCCGGCCGCGGGGCTCTCCCGGGCAGCGTCCCCAGCCGCCTGCGCCCCCACCGCGGGCTGCGCGCCGCCCGTGACCTCGATGGCCGGCAGAGGCTGGATTTCGGCGAAGGTCGTCATGGTCGTGGGCAGCTGGATCTCTTTGGGGATCAGGTAGGACGAGCAGAGCGGGGCGCCCACGCCAGGGCTGGGGGCCGCGGTGGACAGCATCATGGAGTTGAGCTCGCTGATGTTGGCGGTGAAGCGGGTGACCACGCTGCTGATCTGCTCCATGAGCGAGCCCTGCGAGGAGCTGCTGCGCGCCGCGGGCTCCGAGTGCAGCGACGGCACGTCGTCCTCGGTACGGCTGGCCGAGCCTGCGCGGTGGCTCAGCGTGCTGATGGGCGACGGCGAACGTGGCCGCGCCGGCGCCGGGAACTGCTCTTCCGCCTCGGCCACGTCGTACAGCGCTTTGGGACTGGCGTCGGGAGGCTCCGGCCCGGCGCAGGGCCCGGCGCCTGCGCAGCCCGCACCACCCGCGGCCCCCACGCCCCCTGCGCTCCCGCCCGCGCCTGCGCTCAGGCCGCGGCTCTCCGTGCTCTTGGGGAAGGGCTTGATGACCGCCGTCTGGTTGGGGTTCTCTTTCTTGTTGATGTGGATGGACAGGCGCTGCCACAGGTGCTGCCCCCGGGTAGTCTTCTCGTTCTGGGCCCACGTGACGGATTTTCCGTTGGAGCTGCGGAGAGAAGGGAAAAGAGAGGTGACTCAGCGAGGTGCCCAGGGAGTTTGGACGCCACTTCCCCAATGGTGGATGTTCATGGGCCAAGAATGAGGACTTTTCTCATTCTTTCAGGAACACCGCATCAAAAGGACATCATGGAACGAGACCTTGGAAGTGGCTTTCATTTGCTTGTTTTGCGTTAAAGGCTGCTTTCTCTTCAGTAGTTTATCATTGTCATGAAAATGTGTCAAAGGGGATGCTAGTCGGGATGAAGGAGTATTTATCAGGATTCTGCTGGAGTTCTGAACCCACCTGTGAGTGCAGCAGCGCACATAGATGCAAGGGCTTGCAGTCTCCTGGCTGTGTGCAAAGTGCCTGGTACAGGGCAGAGGGTTCCTAGAGTTAGTGGCCCCTGAAGGGAAACATTACCACTAGGACCCAAACTCACCAGCAATCATCAGACAGGAGGGAAAGGGTAAGTCAGGGAATACAAGGAGGTAGACAGTGGTTCCAGTTCAGCCTTTATTCTGGAGGTGGTTATATATAACTAGGGTTTTCTGTCTGAACTCCTGAGTCTGAACACAGTTTTACTTAGGCTGCCTTACCTGCTGGAAAATAAAAATTTAATGAACATACATTTCTATTTAGAACTTCCTTCATAGAAATTCATCTCACAAATTTATTTTGAGACCTATTCTTGAATAACAATTTGATGAGTGAGAGTGCTGTATAATGCCTCCAGCACTCTTAATAGAGTGATTCAAATTAGGATCCTGCTGAATATTTCTGGACTGAAATGTTTTTTTAAAGGCCTTTCTCCCTCTTTCTCCTTTGTGCTTCTACTGTGGGGTCTGAAAGCCACTTTCAAGATGTGATTGATGCCTCAGCCTTAGCACCTGAAGGTATTCTCCTTACCACTAAAAGCTGACACTGTAGCTTCTAAAGCTACAGACCTTCTTTCAGGAACTTCACGTAAGGTCAGCGGATGTGGCCTAACACTTGAGACTTTTTTATTTCTTTATTTATTTTAGACGGAGTTTTGTTCTTGTTGCCCCACCTGGAGTGCATTGGCACCATCTTGGCTCACTGCAATCTCTGCCTCCCGGATTTAAGTGATTGTCCTGCCTCAGCCTCCCAAGTAGCTGGGATTACAGGAATGTGCCTCCATGCCCAGCTAATTTTGTATTTTTAGTAGAGATGGGGTTTCACCATGTTGGTGAGGCTGGTCTTGAACCTTTGACCTCAAGTAATCCACCCGCCCCGGACTCCGAAAGTGCTAGGATTACAGGCGTGAGCCACCCCATGCCTGGTAGAATTTTTTTTTTAGGTGAAGTTTTGCTCTTGTTGCCCAAGCTAGAGTGCAGTGGCACAATCTGGGCTCACTGCAATCTTTGCCTCCCGGATTCAAGTGATTCTCCTGCCTCAGTCTCCCGAGTAGCTGGGATTACAGGCATGTGCCACTACACCTAGCTAATTTTGTATTTTTAGTAGAGTTGGGGTTTCACTATGTTTGCCAGGCTGGTCTCGAACCTCTGACCTCAAGTGATCTGCCTGCCTCAGACTCCCAAAGTGCTGGGATTATAGATGTGAGCCACGGCATCTGGCGGGGAATGTTATATGAAGAGATCCTGGTATAGTTCCCCATCACAAAGTAATCCAAGATCTCTGTTACTAGGCATCTGTTATTTTCAGTTGAGATAGCTCTGTTCTAGGGGCTGTGACCAACAGATAGCCTTGAGCAGCTTGAACACAAAAGAAGTTGAAGACTCTGGTTTTATCATCACAGCCTATGGTTATTAAACTAAATTCTGTGTAAGACTCACCTAGGGCATTTGTCAAAGATATAAGATGTGACCCCAGGAGACTGCATTGGGTTCCAGGGATCTATGCTTTTGACAAACACTCTGTCCTTCTTCTCCCAAAGTAATTTTGAAGCACTTTGTTTCTCAGATTCTTTCACAAACTGAGAAACTGGCAGAAAGCTGTCCTTTTTTTTCTAGATCCCCATCACTCCCTTTGGCCCCTTTTGCTGGAGGGCTGGCTTGCTTTTGAGGGACAGGGGCCTGTATCTCATTTGAAATCCACCTACCTGACTGTCCCTGCAGGATCCACTCTGCCTGAGAAACCAACTGCCTTACTAACAGACCGCCATTTCTGCAGCCCCTGTAATGACATGCTTCTTGCCTCTTTTCACACTGCTTCCCATTTCTTCATCTGTTCCTTTCTACTTCATGGTCTTTCTTTCTTTCTCTTTCTCTTTCTCTGCTCCTTCCTGTGAAATTTCTTTCCATTTAATCTACCCAGTATATTGCATTCTTATGTCCTTTTAGAATCCTGGAATATGAACTGCTTCCACCCTGCCTTGCCCTTCCTAGAAAGGATGAACGAATAATTTTGAGATTTGGAGGTTGCTGTGCATCTGTAGTAGCAGAGTGGGTAGGGCCAAACCGTTGGTTTTGCTTTCTAGTGGTTTCAGGATTTATTTTTTCCATTTTTCCTTTAGCCTGATTTGCGAGTATTATGTTTCTTTTTCCCTGGTGTCCACTAACTTCTGGAACATGGCAGAGAAGAAATGGGCCAGTTTATTTATGGGATTTGATTGTGAGGATGGTTGCCAACTACACCTTGTGTCTCTTACCAGAAGGTTAACAAACAGATGTTTTGAACGGTACCGTTATTCTCCCAGGTCACTAACCTCCCTTTTAATACAAAGCCTGGGCTTGAAATCAGGAGTCTAACTGCATTTATTCTGCCAACTTATACCCTCGGAACAATCTTGGTCCTAGCAGAGAGAGGTTTTGCAAACATTTGCTTTTAAAAAGTTGTTTTTTTTTTTTTTTTTTCTCTCTGGAATGCCTTTAGTTGAACATGATGGAACATAACTTTGGATGTCAGCAGTAATAGTCTTTGGAATCACTGTAGCCATGCCACAAAACATGATGCAACATGAGCATGTTGCAAACTCTTTAGATGAATGTGTGATGAGGAAACCATCCTAATTCATCAATTCTGTACAAACTGTTGACATCTCTTTCCTGGCTGTGCCTTTGCTTACGGTGCCTATGGCCATAAGGGAGAGAGAATGCCAGACCATTTGAGTAACAGTGAAGGCGGACACAAAAAACACTAGACAAGCAGAGAGATAGAGTCTAAATCCGAGTACTTCATTTCATTCTTTAGAATGTGAAAGGTTTTTACCCCTGAAGTAAATGAGAACTCTTAAGAAAGGAAAAAACAAAACCTACTCACAACATTATTCTGTTTATTAGTAGAATGTACATTCCATGAAGACAGAGATCTTATCTATATTGTTCAGTGACACTCAGCATAATCTTAATAAGCATTTGATGGATGAATAGGATTCCTTATTAGTGAACAGGGCCCTGTGGGGTATCATGGAAAGTGCAATAGAAAAGGGATCTGAAAAACCGGTTCATACTCTGGATCTGCCACTTTAGATGCTTGGAAAAGAATGATCTTTTTAAGCCTTGGAAAGAAGCAGACAGTGTCTCATTTGGTTAAGGTTGTTTTGAGATTAAATAAGACAATGTAGGTGAAAAGAGCTGGTAAAGAGGTGTCTAAGGATGTTCAGTTTTTGTATTTTATATGAATACAACATTTCAGAAAATAAAAAGTGTACTCAATGCCGTTTTGAACCCTGATTTAAGGAACAGAGAATTTAGTGCAAAGTAAAATATCTGGCAAGCCATAAAACATTTCATGATCTTTTTCCTTTACCTGACCAACTGTAAAAAACATTGGAGTTCTATGATCTGTGGCCTCTTTTCTCACCCTAACCTGGCTCCTTAGGTAATCACATCTACCCCATTAAATTCTCAGTTAACCTTCTTCCTCACATGCTTTTTTGTTGTGTTACATTCCTTTTTGCTTAAGCGTATCCTCTTTTTTCTTATTTTATTTTACCTTAATTGTCTTGTCTTAAAGCTTTCCTGACCCTGCTAGGCTAGTTTCCTATAGCCCCTGCATTCAGATGTATAACAACTCTTTGCTATATGTCTATCTCACCTGTTTGATGGGACATTATGAAGGCACCGTGAGAGGGTTTGCTGTTTCCTATATGCCCAGTAGTACCCAGGCATTGTTGAGAACACGGTAGATGCTCAGTAATATTCTTGGGCCAATAATAGAGCACATAAAATGCATTTCATTTTCTAAATTCATACTGAATTATTTTCTATTAGAATTAAATTTTATAAAGAATTCAGTATTAATAACTCTATTTTGTCTTATGGATCTATTTTTATTTGTTATATACCTCCCTTTAATCAATAATACTCAATGTCTACAGGTTTAAAAAATTTCATTAACTAAATATTAAAATACAAAGCCTGATATCTACCATTAAAATCATAAAATAATTACTTTTTATAATTGATATATGTCTTAGTGAAATTGCTCAGCGATGAAATCTTATTGAGGCAGTAGTAATGGTGGCAAGGAGAAAGGACCCAGATTCTCAGTCCGGGATCTGACTCAGAATGATGTTGGGCAAATCACTTGCCACCTTTGAGCTTCTTTCCTTATTGGGGAAACTAAAGAAAAAAATCTCCCTGCCCACCTTGCATGACCTCTGGGAAAAACCAAAAGGATAATAATACATGTGAGGGTAATTTATATAGACAGCATAGCCCTTCTGCAAATGCAAGGGGTTATTCATTACCACTAAATCTTCCACTCAGTTGAGCTAAGATGTATTTATTATTTAGGCTGAGTCTTTTTTCAGCATTCGTATTATATGTATGTCCTTGGGGGCTGAGGTAATAAGAATGAAAGGGAATTTTCGTTACCCATCTATGGCATGTCACCTTCCGTCACTGAATATTTTGTACATTGGAAAAGGAGAAGGAAAGAAGAGTGGAGGGAAAAAGGACGAGATGAAAGGATTTGCCGCATCTGACGAGGGCGCCAGAAGTAACTTCTTGCCCTCTTCCAGGTACCATTTCACCCTTTTGCAAAATATAATAGGATGTCATCTAATGTTCTCTCTGTTAAAT